GAGTTGTACAGTATGAAAGTTATTTTCCTTAACCAGGGAATTAACGTTCTTAGAATTGACAGACAGTTGACCCTGAGAGGTCAAGTAAATATCTACAGCGGATCTAAATATTTATAATTAATTATAACTAGTTATGATTAATTATTCATATTTCCCCATGAGCTGATTCGCTACACTATACAGTAAGTGCACAGCTGAGGCACTGAATGCAGTTTCATAATTTATAGTAATGGAGATTTTAATAAAAAGTAATGCTACAGGTTAAGGTTGTCCACATTGCCAACTCTCTCTCTCTCACACACGCACATCCAAGTAAAAAGTCACATTACAGATAGATGGTAAGAGTGAGTATATCTGGATCTCTGCCATGTAGTAAAAAGAGTGCAAAATGGATTACAGACAGTTTACACTGTGTTTACCCAGGATGTACATTGCACATTGTGACTTGTCAGCTGATATTCTAAGGATGGTCATAGCTTGCTAATTTACCTAGTCGTTAAGACAACTGCAATACTTTTAAAATCTATGCAATTGAAAAAGCACACTGTAAGGACATGGTGTCCAGAAAACTGGTCAATTAATCACATAAGGTGTAAAGTCGTAAGTGTTTAATCAAATCATTTGATCATATGCAAACTCTAATTAAATTTTTTGTTGAAGCATTCTGTTCATGATTCGGGTCCAGACATTGCCAAACTGGTGGGGCTTATTCCACGCAGAACACAACATATTATCTTCTTGCCTGTCAGCTCTTCTAACAGTAACTGTTACAGCACGGGGAGGGTGACAGCACAGCTGTATTCACTGGGCATCATGAGTGTTAAGCAGAACCTGCTGGGTCTAATAGCAGCTTCACCCCATTTCCTGCCTGTCAGGACAAAATGTTAGCTAGTCTCGTCTGTACACACTAGACTCTTTAGTTTCACTAAACTAAAGAATTATTTCACCTTTTAATTTATTTAGAGGCACTCTTTTACCATATTCAATGATTTTAAGCAAATACTGCACTACACTGAAAGGTTGCAGCTATCAATCTGATATTTCATATATATTACATTAATATTTTGTATATCAAATAATTTGAGTGTCAATTAGATATATTTATATATTACATATTCATAATAATGAGTACATAATCTTCAGACATAATGATGATCTTAACTGCTTTGTTGACAATAGGCTTTAAAATTATGTGAGCTATGTTCTGAGATCCTTTATATCCAATAATAATGCAGGTTTGTAAACAAACTATTTCCTGTAATATGTGCTAGCAAGAAAAAAATCCTGTAAGGCAGTCATTGAAATTCAGATACTGTTCTCTGTGTTATTCTCCAAAAGCATTTAATGGCCAACATGATCTTTACTGTGACTCCAACATTGAGTATTTAGGTTGGCGGCTTTCAAGGGCACATTTTGGCTGGCTGCCACATGTCTCCAATAGGCTAAAATGAAAGTCAGGGACAGCACATTTTATGATGGATTTTTAACTTAACATTTAATACAGGAAACGACGTACTTTCAAATGGAGCACTTTAAGAAATATTTGAATTACTTTAAGTTAACAACACCTGCTACAGGAACATATAATAAAGGTATACATTAAATCATAAAGAATAGTCTGAATTTCATAAGCCACATTTAAATATTCCTATAATATGCTTAATCTCTGTCTAACATCACCCAAACAGTTGTATTCACGTGATAAGAGCACAGCTGGCAGAAACCAATAATCAGACACTCTTTGAAGGACCAATGAGGCCATTACTGATTTGTGAATAAAAAGGCCTGGTTAAACTTGCTATAATTAAATGAGACTGTGAACCAATTTCTGTGACATTCATTCCCAGATAGCTCCGGTATCAAAATATTTCAGATTCCTGCCTAATTTGCAATTATAACAAAGAAATAGATATTTCTCAGAATTTGTAATAAGAAACTATCTGCTCACAACTCCACAGTGGAGGCACTAGTACGGGACTTGACGTCAGAAACTTCCTTAGCCCCGGCACAGCCAACCCCCCCTCCCCCTAACTCCCAGTGTCACTTTCATTAACATTGAAAAATAAACATTAAAAACCTAAAAAAAAAAAAAAAAAAGTACCTAATATGGGGCCTATAAACAACTGACATTATGGGGGAGGGGTCAATTAGGCGCACTAAGCCTTAGGTAAGTGCGCATTAGCGTTCATTTTAAGTTTAGTATCAACAGCTATCACGATGGAGCGCTATTTAATATCAAGTAAAAGACCGCAAATTTCAGACACTTTGCAGAATAGATGTGAACAATAATACAAGTCAACAGTCTCAAGCCCTCTTTACACTAGTGCGTTTTCATTTTAAAACGGCGTTTTAAAATGAAAACGATCCTAGTCTACACTTGCGTTTCAGAAACGTTCTCCGTCCACACTACACAACCGAAAACGCATGTCACGTTTTCGAGGGTCAAAAACGCCAGAGTAGTGTAAACAACAGGCGTAACAGTGGCAAAAGTTATGCGTTTTAGAACTAAAACGCACTAGTGTAAACGTAGCCTCAGTCTGAAGTTCAGTTTGGAGAGGAGTCTGTCGTCACACAGAATAGCAACTCTTTAAAAAGAGCTTATGTGGAAATAGTTTTATGAATTGTCGGCACTTTATCTACTGTAAAAAATTGTTAGAATTTACAGTGTTTTCCTGCCAGTTGGCATTGAGAGTGACTGACACTTGATGGTCAAAAAAATGAGTAAATAGATGTGTAAAAAAGAAAAGAAAAGAAATTTAAAAAAAAAGAAAAAAAACTACTTTCTCTCTTTTCTATGTGCATTCATAAATTGTATTAATTTGTAAGTGTCATATTTGGCACTTGGCATTAGAAGTTATATTACTAATAACAGTGGATTATGAGAAGTTTAATAACACAGAAAAAAAAAAGATTTTTACTGTAGTTACTGTATATAAATAAGCTAATAGCCTCAATTTTAATTATCCTCACAGCGCGCCATACGGTAATGCGCTATGAAATTATTGCGGCGCAAAAATGCCAATTTTTGATGCTTTGTTTTGACAATTATCTCTGGCTATCGTCGACACATAATACGACGCATCTCAGCACGGGGAGGCCACTGTGTGGAAATAGTTGTATGAATTGTCGGCACTTTATCTATTGTAAAAAATGGTTAGAATTTACCATGTTTTCCTGCCAGTTGGCATTGAGAGTGACTGACACTTGATGGTCAAAAAAATGAGTAAATAGATGTGTAAAAAAGAAAAGAAAAGAAATTTAAAAAAAAAGAAAAAAAACTACTTTCTCTCTTTTCTATGTGCATTCATAAATTGTATTAATTTGTAAGTGTCATATTTGGCACTTGGCATTAGAAGTTATAATACTAATAACAGTGGATTATGAGAAGTTTAATAACACAGAAAAAAAAAAAGATTTTTACTGTAGTTACTGTATATAAAAAACAAGGTGGCTGAATTTGCATGTTTAGAAAGCTGAAGCTTAGGCATCCATTACTTTCTCTCAATTTAATTAGTTTTTTAGCACCCCTCTGAACTGTTAAGTAATATAATATTTCA